GGTGTATATAATACCCTGACTAAGTGAGGTTTAGTTTATTTCCTAAAATAAATCTCCTTCCAAGAACTGGTCGTAACAAACACATTTGCAACTAACATGCCGAGGCAAGAAGAGAGAAGCTGGATAATTGATCCATTAGGTTCAAATTGACAGATTCAGATTGCTATTTATTAAATGCATCAATTTCGGAAAGTTCTGCTGCATTAATTTTGCACAACGCTCAATCTGTTGACTGGTTGCATCTATTAAAATCGAAGGACCCAAGAACGCTCTTTTCACCGTGATTTTTGTTCACTCTATACTGAGGCAGCATCACAAATCTGCCCTTAGCTTGCCCTATTCAAAAAAAAAAACGATTTCTAGCAAAACAACTAAAGAAGACGTTAGATTTTTTCAGCAATGAAATATCAATACTTTTTCGTGAAAGATGGAGATCTAGCAGAAGTCTAGCAGAGCTGTGGAGAGTATACTGATCTGTACCACGTTTCTAGACCAATTTGATCAACCAACTCCAATGAAAAAAGGGAGAAAATAGCTCCATAAGGTCCCGTCAAAGAGATGTTCACAGAAATGGGTTCATTCAATTCTGCTCACCTTGGAATGCCTTCAAAATAAATATTTCAGCTCACAAGCATGTTGAACTGCACATGTTTCATTTTTACACCATCCAGGCCTTATATCTGCAGACAACTCAACAAATAAGAGCAAAAAATTCGAGATAAGTTTGAATAAAAATGAATGAAAATGTCGATAACTCTTAACGTTTCAACTCGAGGGACGAGGAAAAGAGTGAAAAAAGGAATAACTAACCAAGATTTCTAGTGTAGGAGTGCGTATCAGAATATAGCGAGCATTCAAGTGAGTATTCTTGATATTTCGAACTCCTTGTAACTCAATATCTAGCACGCAGATCTTTCCCGTCTGTTCAACGTCACTGACGGCCTTCTTGCTGAAAAAAGCCCTCAGCGTAAAAAAAAGACCATAACATTCACAAAACAAACAATATCAAGTTAAATTTAACATCGAGTTGAAGAAATTGAAGAAGTGAGCTTTTGGAAGAAAAGTATTCAGCTGCTAAAGATGTTTCGCAACTTTTTGGAGTCGAGCAGCCGAGCTATGCGTTGGACTGATGTCGATCGGTACGCTTTTGCAGCACTAACCAGGGCTTCCTTGTTGGATTTTCAAAGATATTTGTTTATTCATTTATTTGGTTAATTTTTTACGATTTCTGTTGCACTCAATGTGCGCCTAGACGGTTAGGCTGGTGTCAGAGTCCGCGATCCGTCGCAGGTTTCGCGCGATCGCGCGACGGGTCACAGAAATCACAAGTGCCCGATCAATACTGCAAGGTGCTCTCCAATCCCGCCGCCATTTCTGCTTGATGGTGATGGCTGAATGACGACTGTTCATGATTCTACTTGTTTCATATTCAGTGTTTCAAATGTTCAAATGGGGCACTTGCGATTTTTGCGATTCGCGCGATTCGCGCGCAAAACCTGCGACGGATCGCGGACTCAGATAACAGCCTTAGGATCAAGATACGTATATATGTAAGCTTGACTGCTGCACCACAAAAACTGAAATAAACAAACAGATGAATTGCATGTGTTGACATACGACAAGAATCGAGGAAAGTGAATGTCAACGCAAAAAAAGGAAGACTTTTCCGACATATTTGACTATTCGCAACATGAATAGTCGATGGGGGAGGGCGAGCTACTGTAACCTCATGAACGTAAGAGTTTCGGATTTACGGCCCGTGAATAATTCCACAGAAATACTGAAGTACATATGTAGGAAAGGAAACGATGGGTTCAAAACGACATCACACAGTAGACGATAGCAGTTGCTAGCAGTATCTCTGGCGAGGCTCAGCTAGTCTACATAGGTCCAAACTATGCGCTGAGATTTAACGAATCGAATGGGAAAAGTAAGGCTGCTTTCATAGTTGCGGTCCGCGCGGATTGTACGGAGAGAGTGAAAAACGTGAACAAGCGCTCTGACGCACAATGCATACTTGGAGCGCAGTCATCGTCTTGCGAGGGTTTCATTACTTCTATTTTTGTTGTTCAGATGTTCCGCGTGCCGTATTGCTTTGCACGTGTTTTTTGGTAAAAATCTTTTCCCTTTTAGTGTGAATCATTGCTTTTCAACTTTTCTAGAAGGATGGGTCCATACAGTGTGTTTGAAAGTGTCAGTGAGCCAAAGAGGGGTTCATTAGTAAGCAAAAGTAGCAATCCATACAAAAAAGAAAAGTTTCAAGCTAAACAAGCGCAACTGAAAGCAAAACGGCACGCTCTCTGCGGGTCTAGCATTAGAGTCACCAAGGGTGAGCAACTTCAGGTGCAACTGCAATTATCAATAGGAAGGGGGGAAAGAGGCGTGTGAGAAGGGCAATGTAAGCCCACACCTCCAGCAGCCCAAACCATCAAACACCACCTGCCTGAGTACTACGAAAATAAAAAAAAGATACTCGCCAATTACCTCGTGCCGTAAGTATTTCCTCCAAACGTCGCATGTTCAAGGAATTCACCATTGGCGATCATGCGCTGCATTTCACCTTGATCAGTGAACCAGTAATGAACGCCATGCTCTTCGCCTTCCCTCGGCTTTCGGGTAGTATCTGAAATCATCGGATTAGTACAATATCTCTTCAACTGTACTTCTTCTCATTACCAAAAAAAAAACAAGAGCTAAACTATCAATTGAAAAAAGTGAGAGAAAGCTAGTTATTGTTATGTAAATCCCCGCTGTTCCACTAATGAGCCGCTATTCACCAAAGAACAAACGACTGAACCGGATCTCATCTATTAAACAATACGTGCGTATTTCCTCGAAGTTCATGTATAATCACGGCAAAGCTACGGAAAAAGGCCACTGATTACCGGGTTTTAAGGCGGATTCAAGATATATTGTTATGAATCATTCTACCCCGACTTACCTTCTCATCCAACGGAGGTCCCAAAGCAACCGCAAGGACTGTGACATTCACTACCACTTAATAGTGATTATGGAAAATGGTATTACTAATATCTTGTCCTGGACACACTGTCAATTCAGTCGTTCGCTACCATACATTGTCAAATCAATATTGTTGAAAGGAAGGAGAAAAATGAAAGTAGGCGTTCCTTTGGGACGTTACAGCATGCAATCCCTTATCACTGGCCTGCACGCGCCACAACTTCCAACACAGAATGCACCAACTTGCAGTAAATACGAATACAGTGGCACTGATAACTCACGTGACACACTAAATGCAAAGCAGTTGGGGTACTCTTTCATTGCTCGAGTAAGAATCGTGCTTTTACCTCCTCCTGACGGCCCTGATAGCACACTATCGGACGGCACGGCATGGTTCCTGGAAAATCACATTTCAAATTAAACTTTCCCGCAACCGCAGACGGAAACGCGGACGATAGACAAAGCAGCTGGAGCTACAATGAGTTCGCTGAGTGTGAGCAGCCTTGTTTACTTTCGTGTTACAAAGTTAAATGAGCGCTCCCTGTTCACTGAATGTACAGGTGACGATCGCCTTGGAACCTTTTCCAACATATTTTATCCTACAGACATATACAGGTTTTTTATTGAAGTGGTTCACCACAGTAAAACACACCCATCTTGTAGCAGCCCTGATTGGAAAACAAAAAAAAAGACTTGTGGATACCAAGTGTGCTGTTTAGCCTGCAATTATAAGGTTGAGTAAAAATAATCTGCCAATTTTATCTCAGGCGGATAATTTTTGCTAAACCTGATAAATCGAGGGAAAAAAAGGGGCTGCATAATCAGAAGGGGAACGCTTGGCAGAGGTATAAAAGGACACCCCCCCCCGCTCCCCAAACACACACACATTTGAAACAGAGTTACTCAGATTCGCTGAACTTAAACACGATGCTCCCAATTTAAGAGATCGTTCGAATCTTCTACACAAGTCGCGCCTTTTATACGAGTAACATCAGAGAAATCGGATAAAGAACATGGTGGGCAGAGCTTCGCTTCAGACTCTACGAGCTTCTTAGACTGGTCGTGAGCACTGAACGTTGTCTAAAAATAAGGGTCCCGGAAGTTGCATAGTAGAGCTGCTTGTCTTAAAAATCATCCACCAGTGGATCAGTTGGATGAATTTGGTGGCACCATCTACTGAAGCAATTACATCAAGCCTCCTTGAATTCAAAGGCGATGGCACTTCAATATGCTTAAGACGGTAAGGCAGTGATCAAGGGGTTGCTTCTGCTTGAGCAGGAACATCTCAAGACAATATTTTACCTGACCATCTACCCTTCACCACTATTCAAATATTGTAATTCAAGTGTCGTCAAGACTTTAGTCTGAGAATTAGGAACGGAAGCAATGATCAATACACGTCAGAGCGCACCTTCAAATACCAGCACAGTCTTTACAGTAATCGTGCGCAGCTACGATTTCAGGAACTGGCAGGTGGAACGCCGCCATAACCAAACCGTCTACACTTTACTGGCAGAAGCCAATCTCTTGCTTGAAAAAGCGAATTTGATGGTTTGAGGATTGAATGGGGCGAAAAGGAGAAAATGAAGAAGTGGTGTGGGCCTCTAGGCGAAGAAAACGCTTCGCAACAAAGTGGAGAAACGGAACTTTCGGGAATACTCGAATCAATAGCTGACTCGACAGCACTACGAGTTAAATACATTTCTGAGTGCAGCTGATAGCCGACATTTGTTCCGTGCTCTGCACTCTGGTTCCTTGGTAAATATGTATTACTCCTCGGAAATTTTCTTAGCCTCCCACGCTGCTTTACAATCTCTCTTTCACATTACGTCTTTCGCTGCATCCACATAAAAGCTGAACGCTATCCACAATGATAAGTTTTTCGAGCACTTTCTCAAAATCCTCCATCAATAAGCCTCGCCTCACGCCGCAGCAGATTTTCCAACACCTGCGGCCAAGTGCAGCAGGCCCCGGCCGGGAGAAGCGTTCCCAAAACTCTACATCTCTGGAGCATGCCGCATTCTTGACCCGAGGGCTGCTTCATCAACCGGGAGTAGACGCAAAGTTTGAGGACCCTCTCCTGCCCGGGCTGTCTTGCACCCATCATTCGTTATGGTGGAACTGGGGCGAGGACACTTCGGTGTGCGAACATTCCGTGCTGCGAATAGCGAAAAGTCGCTTTCTGTCCTAGCGAAGCACACATGGGAGCGAGTAGAGCGGCGCAAGCTACTCAAGGCTTTCAGATAAAAATATTTCCATTTCGAACCATAGCTTATGGTTAGTCCTTGCACAAGCAGGAAGACTTACACACCCTAGAGCTTCCTTCCCTGCGAGAAAACGCATCACTATTGCTGGTACTGCATTATGAACTACTGCGCCGCGAAGCGTTCTCCTGAAGGAGCTGCATTAGATGGGTTATCTTATATCAGAAGCTGAAATCTCACATTTGAAACAGCTCGATTGTTCTTTCATAAATCACAGCTATCAGTTTGTGGGTCACCTCGGTCACCTCACGGTCAAAACTTCAAGGACAGCTGACAGCGCTCAGACCTGATCTGCCAGCTGAAGTGATGTCATCGCCACCGCCACTTGTTCACTAAGAAACACATGCGAGGCATACATTCGCGGCCCGCGAACTGCTTCCGCGATCAAAGACCGAACCCCACATAAAACACACTTAGTCGTAACCCTAGAAGGCTATCGCTTTCAGCACAATATTTAAGCAGAGGTATCAATTGTTGTGGTGTTAAGTGTTGTGCAAGCCACAAAGCCACAACACATATGTTATTACATCAGTTTCTGAATAACGGTAAGCGGCAAGTCTTCCACAACAACAATAAAACAAAAAGGAAAAGTCATTGCTATCTACGAAATAGGAGCCATCGCTGGAAAGAGCTTACCAGTAAATTCAGCAATCTTCTGTATAACAGCACTTAACGGTTGGAACCTGCGGAATCGTCAAAAGCATCGTCGGCGATCAGGCAAAGCCCGTGAACGGGTTCAATGCATCGTCACGGCCACGAGTTAGCAACGTCTTCACAGGAAGTGTAGACGATTCAGGCGACAATGAGCAGAGGAGAGTTCCCAGCTGAAGTAGCGAGAATTGGAGCGGCCAGCGCGAGCGGAGGGAGGAGTCTACGTTCGCGTCATGGGACGCCGCCGCAGCGCGAGGTGCGTCAATTTCGACGGTCGATTTGCCACTATTATGCAGCTCTGCGCTAAGTACATAGCATACACAAGATCAGGGCCGATCTCGCCGGTCGCCATCGTGAGCAAGTCGCAGTAGAAATGATTTCCGTCGCGTTAGTGCGGTTTTTATCTTATATAAATTTGAACTCGATCGAGATGTCGCACAAGAAGCCTTCTTCAGCATTTATGAGGGGCTACCGTAACCCGAAAAAGACGCAAACTGAGGTGTTATGCTGCGGTCGCCGCACGCATCACACCAAGCTTTACGACGAACACGCCAAGGGGGTGCAGGCCATATTGGGATTCATATAATGGAATGAGAGCGTTTAATTTTTAATTGTATGCGTTTGAAACGCGGAGTGTTCTATTGTATCTCTTGGTAAATGGAGTATCATATATTGACTCTCAACAACACAGTGGTGTGGATGCGCATCTTGGACTTGCACATCATCAGCACACAAAGCGTTACTTGTGGTGCTTCATAGAGCTCACTACAGTTACGCAAGCGGCGTGGTAAGGAATCACAGCCATTCGGGAAGCTTACTGACTTTCATTTTTGAGCCACAGATAGTGCGACAATGACGCACACACCAGCACATCCAATAATTCATATGCAAAACATCGTAACACCACACCTA